GCTTTCTCCTCCACAAAAAACAAAACAAAACCAAAATACAGCATAAGAGCATCAGTTACAGAGTAGTGAAATCAATGACACTGCATTTGAAAAAGCTTCAACTTCCACCTGTCTTCCCACAGAATGGATCACCTGACAGCCATGGGGCTGCAGCTCCTGATGCAGAGCACCTGGTCTTTCCAAAGACATTCTGCTTTAGACTAAATACTCTTCAGATATGTCTCAACTCCATTATTAGTATTTTAGGTTGTTCCACAAGGAATTGTCATAAAGTGAAAACTTGGGGCAGGCGTGCAGCACACAGTGGTTAAGTTGCCAGCCAAGAAACCCACAGCCCATATGCAGTGCCTGGTTCAAATCCCAGCTGCTCCACTTCCAATGCAACTTCCTGCTAATGTCCACCCTGGGAGACGGCAGGTGCTGGGTCAGGTATGGGGGTCCCTGTTGTCCATACAGGAGATGCGGGCTGAGTTCTAGGCTTCCAGCTTTGAGCTGGGCAGCCATGGCTGCTCCAGGCACTTGGGGAGTGAACAAGCAGATTTAAGAACTCTCTTTATCTGTTTCTCTGTTCCAAATAAAATGAAATTAAATAATTTTTAAAAAATGAAATCTTATGTTTCAATAGCAACCCAAACTAGGGACTTTTTAAAATTAATAATTCTATTTCTAAAATTTAACTTAATTTTATGACAAAAATGAGGAGATAGCAGATTCACGTGGGCCTCTGATTAGCATAGAGGGGGGCCGATGGGGGGGGTGAGTGAGATAAATGTTTTTGTTTTCCCTCCTGTATCCATGGGGGAGGAAGGCGGTTGGTAAAATAGCACCACTCCTTACTGTCAGACTATATCAGCTTCAGAGGTCAAGGCAGACCTTGTTGCCTAGAGACCCTGATGGAGGAAGGAATGTTCCAAGGGTTTTACTTGAGTGGTTCTGGTTGTTCTGAGTTGTTGTTGGCTTTGTTGTACCACAGGTGAGAAATCCTAACGCCAACTACATCTACCTCAGCGCGCGACCACAAACCTAGATGCTTGTTGTAAAACCTGGCCTGGAGTGTTGATCAACCTGCCCTTCTTTGCATCTTTCGTTGGCTTAGATGATACACGGGAATCAGCAACTGAGGAGGCCCAGAGCAACATGTGCTCTGGGGCTGGAACACATGTCAAAGTGATTTTTCCTGAGGTCAGGGATCAAGCCCAGTGGTCTACTTGGGCAGCCCTCCAAGGACCCCATCTGGGAGGTCCTCAGACCTGACGCTTATGCACCCCAGCTGGTGTAAGGTCAAGCCCAGCTCACCCCCTGCACTAAGCCATGCACAGACAGTGGGGGAGTATCTGCCTGGACAGTCCTGTCCCTAGTCCCAACATCCATGCAAACCAGCAGGTGCTCTAGCCTAGCTCAGCCTACCCCCAGGCCTGGCTCTGATCAAGTGCCTGCGGGTGCCACAGCCTAGTTGCAATCCTGAAGAATTCCTACCAGGCCCACCACGAGCCCTGGCTTTTGCACATGCAAATATCAGCAGGTACTGCAGCCCAGACCATGTAGGCCACCCCCAATCCTGGTATTTCTGTACCCTGGTTGGTACAGTGGCTTAACATAACCCATAACCCAGCCTCCATCCCAGCTCATGCTGGTAAGTGTTGCAGCCTAGTCGGCCCAGCCCAGGTATTCCCCATTCCCCAGCTTTTGTGGGCACTGCTGGGTGCTGCAGTCCAGCCTGGCCAACCCACTAACAGTCTGTTTTTGACAGCAGGTGCTGTAGCCTAGCCCAGCCTGGCCCACCTCCAGCACAAGTTCTTAGACCCCCTGGTGGATGCTGTGGCCTAGCTGAGGCAGCTCCAAAGAACCCTTACCAGGTCCACTCCCGACCCCAATTCTTGCACATGCTGGCAGGTGCTACAACACAGCCTGGCATGGCCCACCTTCAGCCCCAACACTTATGTGAACCAGCAGGTTATTAGGCCAGCCTGGCCTGGTCTGCCCCAGACTAGGGACTTCCTAACAATGCCTTCTGCGCACAGCAAAATATTCACAATACAGGATGGGGGTGGACCCTTTTTACAAGTTTACTAAGGAGCAAATCAATGACTCAATTCCAATCTGCCCAATACAACATTTTGACAATGAAGATCATAAAAAGTATCTACTTTATAGCTTAACAAATTGGAAATTAGAGGTTAGTATTTCAAAACAAATATTACATTAAGTCATCATAACACTGGATTTGGTAACAGATTCTTCATTACGATATCAAAAGAAAAAGCTGACAAACTGAATTTCATGAACATTTCAAATCCTTACACATCCAAAAATATCAAGGAAGAAAAAAGACAATCTACAGAATGAAAGAACATACTTGCAAATCACCTGAGTAAGATGTAATTTCTGGAACACATAAAGAACTTCAAGGGAGCGGTGCAATGGCTCAACTAGCTAATCCTCCTCCTGCAAGTGCCAGCATCCCACATGGATGTTGGTTCATGTCCCACTGCTCCACTTCCCATCCAGTTCCCTGCCTGAGGCCTGGGAAAGCAACAGAGGTTGGCCTAAAGTCTTGGACCCATGTGGAAGACCCCGAAGAAGCTCCTTATTCCTGGCTTTAGATCAGCTTAGCTCTGGCCATTGTGGCCATTTGGGGAGTGAACCAGTGGATAGAAGATTTTTTTTTTCCTGTCTCTCCTTCTCTCTGTAAGTCTGCCTTTCCTGGAAAAATAAATAAGTCTTTAAAACAAAACAAAACAAACACTTCAGTAGGGATGAGGATTTGGCTCAGCAGCTAGGACAGCTTGGGGTGACCTTATCCGATTGTAGAGTACCTGGGTTGACAGCCTAGCTTCCACACTCCACTTGCTTCTTAAAGGAGGTAGCAGGTGGTGGTACAGAGGACTAAGTCACTGCCATCTGTGTAGGTGATCCAGTTGGAGCTCTCAGCTCCTGGCTTCAGCTTGGCCCAGCCCAGCCCCAGCTGTTGTGGGCATCTGGTATGTGAACCAGTAGACACAAGATATCTCTGTCATGACAAATTAATTTAAAAAAAAAAAAAAGGAGAAGGAGGAAAAAGGAACTCCTATAACTCAACAACATCTTCCATTTGTTGGCTCATTACACCCTAATGGTTACAAAAACCAGAGCAGAGCCTCAAACTCCATCCTCATCTCAGTGGAGATGGGCCCTCTTCCTCTGCTGGCTGCTCTGCTTCCGGTCCTGCTTCCTGCCTTTCTGCCTTTCTGAGAAGGCAGCAGATGGCTGAGTGCTTGGCTGCCTGCCTTCACGTGGGACCAAGATGGAGTTGCTGGGGCCTGGCTTCAGCCTGGCTCAGCCACAACCACTATGGTAATTTAGGGAGTAAGCCAGGGGATAGAAGCTTGTTTGCTCTTGCTCTTTCTTCTCCATCTCTCTCTGTGGTTGCCTTTCAAATACATCAATAAAGAAATCCTTTCTTCAAAAACAGATGATGGACTCAAACAGAGATTTCTTTAAAGACAGACACAAATAGCCAATAAGCACATGAAAAGATGATCAATATCATTAGTAATGAGGGAAATAAAAATCAAAACCTCAAGATGCCACTTTACAAGTACTATGAAAGCTATGAATTAAAAAAAAAAAAACAGTAAAAGCTGAGTGCTGGCAAGCATGTGGAGCAGTGCCTGGACACTGCTGCTGGGAATGTAAACGGGCAGCCACTGTGAGAGATGCTGGATACCTCAAAAAACTAAGCAGAGCCACCATATGAGCCAGCAGTTCCACTTCAGTGGCACTAGCCCCTACTGACAATATATCCCCCAAAGAATGGAAAACAGGGACTCAGATATTTTGTATCTGGATGTTGTGGTGTTCAGAAAAACCCAGGATTTGTGAACAACACAGGAGACCATCAACAGGTGAGTGAATCAACAAAGTGTGCTGTGGAAAGAATGCTAGACATAGGACTACCACTCAGCCACCAACAGGCAGGAAGTTCTGGCATACATGCTATCTCACAGAGGAGCCTTGAGAACACTATAAGAGAAATTAGGCACACACAGAAACACAAATATTGTAAAATGAAACTTCAATACACTAGTAGGAATGCCAATGTCACAGCAGCCAAAAGTAGACCACAGGTCACCCAAGTTTATAACAAAAGTGGGACACTGGGTGTGGGGGGGTGTTGGTGGGTTGGTGTGATGGCTCAATGTCTAAATCCTCACCTTGCAAAGTTAAGGATCCCATATGGGCTCTGGTTTGTGTCTGGCTGTTCCACTTCCTATCCAGCTCCCTGCTTGTGACCTGGAAAAGCAGTTGAGGACAACCCAAAACCTTGGGACCTGCCAGGAGGAAGAAGCTTCTGGCTTCAAACAAACTCAGCATTTGGGGACTGAACCAGCAGACAGATCTTTCTCTTTGTCTCTGCTTCTTTCTATAAATCTGACCTTACATGCCTTTCCAATAAAAAGAAAAAAAAAATGTGGGAAGGGGATTTACTACTTCATCGTTACAGTTTTTATTTATTTGAAAGTCAAGAGTTACACAGAAAGACAGAAAAATATCTTCCACCTGCTGGCTCGCTCCCCAGATGGCAACAGTGGGTTGGTCTAGGCTGAAACTTCATATGAGTACAGGGGACCAAGGATTTGGTCTATCTTATGTTGATTTCTCAGACACATCGGCAGGGAGCTAGATAAGAAGTGCAGCAGCCAGGACTCAAACCATCTACCGCTATGGGATGCCAGCATGGTAAATGGTGGCTTAACCTACTGTACCACACACAACGTCAGCCCCATGGTGGTAGTTGGTGTCTGAGATAACGAAGAACATTTGGAAGTAGATAGTGGTTACACAACACTGTGAACGCAATTAATGTCACCAAATGTACACTCAAGAATAATTAAAACGGCAGGTTTTATATGATGCATATTTTACCACATAAATAAAAGCAAACTTTAAGGCATAGAGCCAACAAAGAAAAGAAACATATTACAGCTGGAACAATTCAGAAAAATGGCCCCCAGCTGTACCTGTCTACACACTGTGTTCGGGACAGGGGAGGCAGAAATCTTCGGTGATGAGCTTCTCGGGCAGCAAGTCGGGCAGGTGACAGCTGGAAAGAGGACAAGATCCACTCAGTATTCTAGAGAAGGGGCTGAATGCCCAGAAAGCCTGGGCTCACAGTCTCACAATGGGCCCTAGAAATTCAAGCAGCACGATGTTGAATGCAAACATCCACTTCAGGAGAAAAGAAAACAAGACTGGGAAAACTCTAAGGCAACTTCAAGTAACACCCAACACACGAAAGCACTGAGATGAACTCCCACAGGGCAAGCAGAGACATTCCCAGGAGTAGCATAATAAACGGCACACAGCCAAAAATCTCTGGTCACAGCTTTCAGAAACTCTAACTGGAACTGAATCCAAGGGCATATCACGCTCCTGACCGTAGGAGCTGGATACAGCTATATAACCACAGGAGTTAGAGAAAGCTACATCGCAACAAGAGCCAAATGAAGGATGCTCAATGCAAATGCCTCAAGAGTGTGTTTTTCTAACACTTCATCAATGACTGAGACCTAGACTACTGAGGAAGATATCTACAGGGAATCTGCACATGCAGTGTTATGAAATGAATAATGCACACCCCCAAAATGAAACATGCCAAAGCACAACCTCCAAGTTGATGGTACAGCATGAGCACCCCTAATTCATAAGCCCCAAACCCTAAATCCAAAGCTTTTCACACTTCTCACTGTGGACTTCTAGATAAGGGATGCTCAACCAGCAAAGACCATGCAAACATCCTCAAATTCTAAAAATCCAAAACCTAAACATGTCTGGTTTCAAGCATGTCAGCTAAGGAAATATCCAACCTATAACTAGAGTGGGGCTTTGGAGAAGCAATTAGGTCATGAGAAAAGGACCTAGTGCATGGGACTCTTAGTACTTTGTCTTTCTGGGCCCAGCGTGGTGGCCTAGTGGCTAGAGTCATCGCCTTCATTGTGCCAGGATCCCATATGGGTGCCAGTTCTAATCCCAGCAGTTCCTCTTCCTATCCAGCTCCTTGCTTGTGGCCTGGGAAAGCAGTCGAGGATGGCCCAAAGCCTTGGGGCCCTGAACCTGCCTGGGAGACCTGGAAGAAGTTCCTGGCTCCTGGCTTCAGATCGGCATAGCACCAGACGTTGTGGTCATTTGGGGAGTGAACCATCGGACAGAAGATCTTCCTCTCTGTCTCTCCTCCTCTCTGTATCTGGCTTTGCAATAAAAAATAAATAAATCTTAAAAAAAAAAAGCTTCATCTTTCTTTTTGCACCAAATGGGGATAAAACGAAGAGAGAGCCATCTGTACACAAGGAAGCAAGCTCTCAGCAATGCAAGATCTACCAGAATCAACGGGAAGGCTGTGGTTTAAGCCTGGCTACATTATTTTTGTTACAGGGCAGCCAGGGCCAAGACCCAGAGGGCCTGACTCCTAGTACTGACACTTGAGGAAACCTGAAGTTAGAGCCAGTGAGGCATCACGGTTAAGGTGAAGCCATGCTATCGTCATTGTGCTGGACACTTCCCTCATTTAATGTCCCACCTACATGTTTTTACTGAGACCATCTCAATATTCCACAGGTGAAGAGCTGTGTATTTATAGAGACTCAAGAAGTCTACAGACCTTTTCATCTTCCCACTGGAAAAAATTACAATCTTTCCTGTCTCTGCAGGCCGAGCAGGCATAAAATCTCCGTGTTTCCTCCTTCCCCTGAATCACCTTGACAAACAGCAGAGTGGGTCCTAGTTCCAGAACAGGGAAAAAGCATGTCAAACAACAGCATCAAGTTCTTAGGATTCACTGCCCTGAAGTGGAATTCGCTTGGGATTAGATCACAGTGCATGGTAACCAAAGCCAACACTGCCGTCAGTTAACCGTGCCCTCTGACTCCCAGTCCCAGGGTTCTGGCACCGACAGCTTAGCACGCGTGCATTTCTGAAAACTGCTGTGTTGCAGTCGGTTTAGCTGTGTCCACACAGTGAATGTCACAAACCTGAGGGTGAACAGTAAAACGGCCAAGGGGGCCCCCGGAGAGTCGGGCACCTGGCCGTCCTCCTCGAGGTCATCCCGGACACACCCTCTCCTCTGTCGTCAGTTCAAGCGGGAAAGTGGAGCGCTCTCCAGAACTCAAGTGACAGAGAGCAAACCAACAAACGAAATCCTCAGGAATTTGCCCACAGTAAGTATTGAAAACCTCATCTCCTTTGCATATCCTCCACCTAGTACCTCCGGAATATACAAACGGAACAGCCTCGGTGCCAAAAGCCCAACAGTGAGGGTCTCTCCCTCGGAGGGTTTCTGAAATAACTTAAAACACAACAACTGGGGAAAACATGAAAACCAAGAGTCCTAAAAACCCAAGGCTCTTCTAAGCCAGCCGCGGCCCAGGAGCCCGGCAGCCTGGCTGGGCCCAAACACGGACCCACCGTGAGGGCACAGCGGGGCGGGGGCGGCGGGATCCGGAGGAAACACCACTTCCACTCCCGAGCCCCCTCGTCTCCCCTCGCGCCCCTGCTTCTCCAAAGCCCCAGGATGGTCCCTGGGGGCCGCCATTTCCCTGCCGCCGTCCCGAAAGCCTCCGTCCGCCGCCGGAGTCAGAAAGAGCGCCGCTGAGGAGCAGCGCGGGAACCACAGCGCCCCCGCGCGCCTTGGAGGAACGAGCTGCCGCGGCGACAGAGGCCACGCCCCGAAATGCAACACCCCGCTCTCCCGCGGCTGCTCCCTAGCGGCCCCTAGCGGTAGGGCTCGCAGGTCACATGTCGGAGCTGGGAGATGGGTTGCCTGGTGTTGGGCCCCACTGTTTCGGACACGTGCGTGACCCATCAGAACCAATGCTGGGTCGGGTATTAATGTCTAAAAGGGATCCATTATCAAGCAGCAGCAGCTGACAAATGCAGGGACGGCCACCATGGCTGAAATGATAGAAACGGCCTCCTTTTGTCAAAGCCACAGCCAAAATGTTCTCTAAACATTGGACATGGGTTATAGGACGCACACACACATAATTGCATGCCCTTGGCATTTGTGTATAGGAAAGAAAGCCTTTCTACTTGCTGATGAGGGCCCAGCGTGGTAGCCTAGCAGCCACTGCATCCCATATGGGTGCCAGTTCTAATCCTGGCAACCCCACTTCTCATCCAGCTCCCTGCTTGTGGCCTAGCAAAGCAGTTGAAGACGGCCCAAAGCTTTTGGAACCTGCACCCATGTGGGAGACTCAGAAAAGGCTCAAGGCTCCTGGCTTCAGATCAGCACAGCTCCGGCCATTGTGGTCACTTTGGGAATGAATCATCTGACTGAAGATCTTCCTCTCTGTCTCTCCTCCTCTCTGTATATCTGACTTTGCAATAAAAACAAAAAGTGGAGCAGCTGGACTTAAGCCAGCACCCTAGTGCCATTCTACTTGCTGATGATGTAATTGTCTATAAGAAAATTCTCAAGACGCTACATTTTTTAAAACTTCCAGTCTAAAGTGAGATCCTCCAGGTTGAGCGATATGAAATAAACATGCAAGAACGCATTGTGTTTCTGTATACTGACAATAATCATGTGAACATTAAAGTTAAAGCGAAAATACCATTTACAGCTGCTCAAAGAAATCTGCCACCACATCCAGCACCTGTGAATTGAACATTACAGAATGCTGACTAAAGAGAAATCAAAGAAGATCTTCATAAACATAGAGTGCGTGGTGGTTTTTTTTTTTTTTTTTTTGGACTAAACAGTAAAAATCTCCATTCCTCACAAGTTGAGTAGATACAGCTTAGCACACTTTCCAGCAAGGTCCCCGCCAGATTTTTCTTTAATGTAGACATCATTATTATGAACTTAAGTAGAAAGGCATGGGAAGAACTAAGCTAAGTTTGAAAAAGAACAATATAATTAAGTCTACTATCAACACTTCATTCCACCCGAAGTAATTAAACTATGTCACATGCACGGGTAGTTTACATGACGAAATCGTCATATATCTCCTATCATTAAAGGAGTTAACGAAGCACATCACATTCAGTGTCGTGTGAATGAACCGAGAAATGCTGCTTCCCTGCAGTCCTCTCTGCTTTCAAGCCCTTTGATTTCAACATTCATCCTTCTTTCACCTTTAAGATACTTGTTTGTTTTCACTGAGTTAAGACAGAGAGCAGCGCTCACCCACTGCTTACTCTCCAAGCGTCTGCAGCAGCTGGGATTGGAGCAGGCCCGCGCTGGAAGCTACAACACCACTGAGCTCTCCAAAATGATGGCAAGGACCGAACTACTCGGGTCCTCACTCCGCCTTCCAAGGTTAATGTCACAGGAAACTGGAGTTGAGTCTACAGTAGAACTAGGATTTGAACTAGGAGCCATGATATGAGATGTGGGTGTCCCAAATGCCCACCCCTCAGCTTTCGTTTTTGACAGTAAAGCCAGTTGTGAAAATCCCTAGCAATGACAGTCAGCTGGGGAAGGACTTAGACACAGTGTCACCTCCCCTTGGGACCACACCGCTGGCCCAACAGCATCCTGAAGCTGAAGGTGCCATTTGCTAAGCTTCTGAGATCGATTCACTGTTACAGTAATGGGAATGAGGTGGACGGTTCAGTGACTGACAGGCCTGTAGACAGCTAACACCAGCCTCTTGGGGACCAAGAGCCCCTTGGCTCTCCTTGCTGCCCGGTGTGACCGTCTGGTGTGAGAGCCAGGAACAGTTGTAAGAAAGAGTATACACGTATGTGTGTGAAAGCGATTTACCCTGTAAATATGTAGAACTGGAATCTTGAGATAAGCATGCAGGCACTTCAGAAAGTGCATGGGGGATGGGATTACCAGACAGTGGAAATTTCCTTGAACAATTGCTATACCCTTGTGAGTCTGCTGACAAGTAGAATTCCACGTGTAATGGGTTCAACAATGTCCTCAAAGAGTCACGTCTACTTAGAATCATACCATGTGACACTCCTTTGAATCGGGGTTCTTGTATAAATGCAACAGAACCCCTTTCTCTGTGGTTTTCCTCAGGCTCAGTTACTTATGGCCAACCCTGGTCCAGGCAGTGGTCTAACTGGTGGTGCAGAGGTTAAGAAACCAAGTAGGCCATCTGCAGCCCCTATCAGAGTGTGTGGGTTTCCCAAGTGGGTATTGGGATTCAATCCAAGCAAGACTCCAAAGCAAGTGAGATGATTTTATTGTCTAGTCCAAGGGCAACCTCTTGCCATAAGCAAGAAGAGCCCCGAATGAAGTAATCATGGGGTTTTTATAGTAAGAAATCAGAAGCTAAGTGACAGTGAGCAGGTACATGATTAGGGGCTAGCAGTGACACACAACAGAAGGCATGCAATAGGAATTTACAACGTACAGGCTTGGGGGTCCTGATCATATCACTTCAATGCAGACAGTAATAAAATAGCATGCCTCAAAGGTAGCTGTCTTTCCTGTACATCCAAAAACACCAGGGTTCTCCCTAGCCCCTGCCTGCCCATGGTCTTTCAGCAAACAGGAGCTTTGCTAGTAACAGGATGCAGGTGTCTCTCTGGAGATTCCAGACTTCCAGGGGGACAGTCACCTTTACAATTAACACTGACAGTGGGCCATCTGCAGCCCTGTCAGGGTGCCTGGGTTTTACCCCATCTCTGCTAACGTACACTTGGAAGTGGGTGAATGCTCAAGAAGTTAGAACCCCCCACCGTTCGTGTGAGAGCCTTGGATGGAATCTTGAGCTCCCAGCTTTGGCATGGCCCAGAGAGCATTTGAAGACTCTATCTCCCTCCACCTCTCTATCGCTCTGTGTGTATGCATGTGCGTGTCCAGCTCTCAAGTGCAAAACACAATGTAAGTGATGTGAAATTATTAAATGGACAGTTCTAGGCAATTCACAAGTTGTAAAATGTATGATGAAATCTCAAGTGTCCTGCTCCCTCTATCTCTTCCAGAATGTGGCTTGTCCCTTTGCCTGGAGTATCCACTCTGTATACACTACCCACCCACTGGTCATTTCACAGCCCTCCCTGTTATCAGACCCACTGTCATGGGATTGCGGTGCTATGTTCCCGTCACCCTGTTTGCATACTAATGACCCCCAAGTGCGGGATGCAGGATGCTGGCCTGCCTGGAATGCCAAAGAGAAGGATCAAGTGCTTCCTTTACATGAAGCATTAAACATGCTCAAGGAGCTAGAAAAAATCATAGGGTAAGGTTGAAGATGATGGTGGTAAGACTGACCCTCTGGATTTGCGAAACTGAAGCAGATAAAAACAATTTATGTTAGTTTTGCTGTCACATCTGCAACTGCAAAAGCCACACCAGAGTAGGTGACAATTGCTTAGAGTGGAGAAAAGCAGTACGTTTGTGTATGGATGGACAGGAAGAAGCAAGGAAATAAGCTGTGGGATTTTCTGAGACCCCTGCAGGCCTTGCCCTGTAGGCCTCCCCCTCATCTTGCGATGAATGAGGAGAAATTCCTACCCTCAAGGACCAAGATGAGCTTACGACAGATTAGGATGAGCTTTAAATCTGTGCCAGTGACCTGAGAAGAGGGGAATGCATGGCCTAGGTCAAGGGAGACAGGGTAAGCAGAGATTCCAGTTACACCCCACTGAGAAACACCTGGGGTGAGCAGAAGAAGCTTCCAGAAGGCCTGGAGCAGCTGAAGAGGCTGGAAAGGATTCTCCCCTTGAACATGTGGCCCTGTGACTCCTGGACTACAGACCTCCGTTCTCTGAAAGGTGAGAGGCTGGCCCTCTGCCACCTGAAAGCCCTCTGCTTGGGTGCTCGGGAACTAAGTACACCTCGTCTGGTGCTTCTCTAAGTCCTTTGCCCTTGGCATAGCTGGCAGATTCACTGACCATTGTTGTCTTTGTCTCTGCCCCACAAGCAAAGTAACCTTGAAAGGATTGATTCACCTTTTATTTGTATTTCTCTTACTTCACAACTTTTCTGCTATAAAACCAGCTCCTGCTTCCTGCTCGTTGGCACACTGACTGTTTTGTGGAATGAAGTGTTGCCCAACTCCAGAACCAAACACAGCCAGTGCAGATCTTCAAATCAGATTATTATAACTTTGTCTCCTCCGAGTATTTTTTTCTCACAATATTTTAAAAAAGATTTTTATTTATTTTTTATTTGAAAGGCAGAGTTAAAAAGAAAGAAGGAGGAAGAGAGAGGGGCTGACAGAGAGAGAGACTGAGAAAGAGAGAGATCCTCCATCTGTTACTTCACTCTCTAAACACATAGACTGGCCAGAGCTGAGCTGATCTGAAGCTAGGAGCCAGGAGCTTCTTCTGGGTTTCCCACGTGGGCACAGGGGTTCAAAAATGGGCCATCCTCCACTGCTCTCCCAAGCCATAAGCAGGGAGCTGGATCAGAAGTAGAAAATCCAGGTCTTAAACCAGAGCTTATATGGGATGCCTGCAGCAAAGGCTTAGCGTGCTATGCCACGGTTCCAGGGGACATCCTCCCTGCAAAGTATTTTTCATAAGGAAGGGGGCACTGAGCCTCCATGTTTGGGAATTGTAGAGGGAGTCGTATACCGTGCAGTGCGATCCAGGGCAGCTCTGACTCCTGGGCAGAAGAGCAGGTTTGAGTCAGAGTGCTCCCTCTGACTTGCATGCAACTCCAGATCCCCTGGGACT